TTTTAGGGTTATTAACGAAGTTCATGTACTCAAACCAGTAATATTTGGGATCACAAGTTTTTGCCATGGATATTTTGTGGGTCAGAAGACAAAAAGTTTGGGAACCACTGTACTAATCTGTAGTGTGTGTTAGATTTTCCCATTTCAGTACAACTATTTAACTTTCAAAGGAAAAAGTCATTTTATATTGAGCTTTTTGAAATTTAAAGATGTTTTCATACTTTGTGTATCCATGTTTTAAAGTCTTATCTTTTGTTTTTAGTCCTAAAATCCTGTACCCAGACAACTTTAAAGAGCTTCCAAAGAAACCAACTCGACGCAGGCACACAGCTGACTCTTCAGATGAAGAGGAGGAGGAGGAAGAAGATGAGGAGGAGGAAGAGTCGGAGTCAGAAGATGAAGCTCCTCGAAAGAGGTGCATATTAAAGTTTCAAATTTTTTGTGGTTTCATTCACATGCAACTTATTTAACTTTTTTAATGTGATTTTAGGAGATCAAAGGCCCTTTCGCGTACAAATCGACGCCCTCCACCATCCAAACGAGCCCAGCGTGCCAGTCCATCGAAAGCTAAAAGCCGGGGCCGCACGCCTGCTAAAAAGTCTCCCGTCAAAGCAGCAGCTTCCTCGGCCAAGAAGGGAGGAAGGAAACAGTCGGCCGTTAAGAAGGAATCCACAGCAACCCCTGTCAAGAGAGGTGCGCCTTCAAGAAAGCCTAAAAAACCAGCAGTTAAAAGACTGAGCCAACGGGCCACCAAGAAACCCGTGTACAAGGAGTCGAGCCCCGAACCCGAGGAGTCTGAGGAGTCCGAAGTTGAAGAGGAGCCAACGAGGGGCGGGTCTAAACGGGCCAGACGCGAGTCCTCACCAGATGAGCCTGAGGTGGAAAAGGAGACGAAACGAGGCGGATCCAAGCGGTCCAAACCAGAGTCGTCCCCCAAAGCGCCCAAGGCCGAAAAGGCGACGGCAAGAGGCGGGTCCAAAAGGTCCAAACCCGAGGAGACTACCCCAGAGGAGCCCCCAGTTAAAAAACAGGCAACCAAAGGCGGGTCCAAACGTCACGAGCCAGAGTCGAGCCCGGAGAAAGCTGATGTCAAAAAAGAGAAGAGCAACAAAAAGTCCCCTCGAAAGTCTAAGAGAGGCAAGAACTGAGACCGTGAGCGCCTTCCAATAACTGGGCTGTGCTAAACGTTTAAATATTTTTTCTATTTTTACCATTGCTTTTTTGTCCCCCTTTTTTTTAAGAGGGCAGTAGTTTTAGTAGTTCAAAGGTTTTTTTTTTTTCCTATTACTGAATAACAGTGTTGTTCTAACAGTTATGTTAGCTGTACTTTGAAGTTCGGTTGTCTTTTTTTTTCCTTCTTTTTACCCTGATGTGTAGAAAAGCTCAGTGTTGCCGTTAAAGCTGCCAGCGTCAGAAAGGATGGCAAGATTCATCGTTCATACTGTAACTAGAGCCGTGTTGTGACTTCTGTTTGTACATGTTCTTCATCCACTCAGTAGCTACTGGCAGCACACATTCCTGATTTCAAAGGAACGGTTCTGGAGTGGGCCAAGTGTTCAAAATTTAATAAGTTCAAAATGTTATTGTTATTATTATTATTATTTTCCTACAGCATAATTTTAGCCCGTTATTCTGTCTCAATAAGAATATACAATGATTTGGTCATGCACAAACTGAAATTTCCAA